GATGGATGGATGGATGGATGGATGGATGGATGGATGGATGGATGGATGGATGGATGGATAATGAAAATATAAAACAGAGCAAAATTATGGTGAACCTCTGGGAAGGAGTTGTTCTTTGATGTTTTGACTTTTCTGAATAAAATCACCTGGATATAAATAGAAGCTAAAATCTAAATGCTAAAGAAAAGAGCTTCAGTATTGTCTTGTGTCATTAATATTTTACAGGGAGTTATTATTTCTGCCTATTTATTTATTTATTGAATTATTTACTTTTGTAAAACGATTCAGGGTATTTTGAGGTTAAAACATTGTAAAGCTTTTCTTGTGATTGATTTAACTTTCCTGTTTTCTTTGTTTTTACTCTGCACCTTTTCTGTTCAATGTCAGTTCAACAATTAAGAAAAGGCTTAGGTTGTTTTTCTCCATTTTTTCCAAACAATAACAAATGTTTAATGTTTTTGAGATGTTTTATACAACATACCTAAATGTCTCAGTCTTCCAATATATTCACCTGGTGCACTACAATTTGGCTAGAAAAAATTACAACACTAAAAATATAGAGCTTTAATATAATATATATAGTGACTGGATCAACTTATTGTGGGGATCATAACCCCATAGCCCCCCACAAATTGGTAAACAGAGATTATGTGTGTGTTTTGTATTAATACAATTAGTAGAAAGTAATCATGTGTACAAATACTTGAATGAAAGAATGATTTTATTTATTCGGGACAGTGTGCAATTAAAACATAATTTCATGCATTGCACCAGATTTGGCCCAAGGCTAGTTCACATATGTAGTCCCATCAAACAGTAAAAACAAAACAGCATCCAACAGTAAAATAGAAATAAGAGAGGGGGAAAAACTGAAAAATAAAAATAATATAAACTAAAACATAAAAAATACATAAAACACTCCACCCCTCCCTCCAACAACCAGAAGCAACTCTAAAATTGATTACCCAGTGCAATTCCATGATAGCAATATTGGTTAGATTTAAGATATTTTTTAAGATGATTACTTAAGGACAAGTTTTGGAGTCAACCTGTTAAAGATGGCTGACGGCCACAGACATAAAACAAAATTGACATTAAATCAGTTCTGCAGTAATCAACCTAAAATTTGATGTGGCAGCAGCTGAAACTGTTCCTTAAATTTTCAGCATTGACAAATTGAACAAAATCTGTTTAAAATCAATATCCATTTTGAAGTCAAACCTTTCGATTAGCAAGAAAACCTTTGAACCACTGAATGAATTTTAATGAAACGTTCAGAAAATATTCATTAAATGTTTATCTGTAAATAATGATTAACTGAGATGACCTTTTTGAAGTCAATCAAATTTAAAGTGACCACCAACTGACCTCATAAAACACCAAAAATTGGTAAGCTTAGACAAAATTGTAACATAAGACRGTCTTAATCTAAAGAATATGTCATAAAAGGCGGTGGGAGATGATTTACAATCCATGAGAGATCTTTGAGATCTGTCTGGTTTCAGTGCTGCAGAGCCACATAAAATCAAACTTTAATGTTTGATAAGTTCAAGAATAAAATACTTAAACTTATAAAATTGTATTTTTTGTTTGTTTTTAAAATTCAGCATCACCCAAAAATGTTTACAAGTGGTTGAGTATTAAAAAGGTGTTCAGTATTTGCCCACTAGGTGGTGCTGTCATTGTTAATGAGAACAGCCAGATAATAAAACACAAAAAGCATTTATAAGATGACTTCTCTATGATTACAAATTATGTTACATGTCCTGTTTTATTCAGGATAAAGATGAAGCACAAAAAAATAAAAAAAAAACATAAAAACAACAACTGAGCTCCACACCCACTGCAGTTCAAGCCTGAGTCAAAGGCCTGGGACGTGCCACGACTTTGTAAGCCTGGACCTTGAGCACCACACTGGCCACCCCTCGCAGGTCAGGCGGGGATGCTTCTCCCTCAGGAAGGACGAACTGGAAATCTCTCAGCAAGTAGGCTGTGAACAGAAAGAGCTCCATTTTGGCCACAGACTCCCCCAGGCAGAGCCGAGCTCCCCCTCCAAAAGGCATCAGAGCACGAGCTGCTCCACCTTCTCCTCCCAGAAAACGTTCTGACAGAGAGGAGCAACGTTAACACAATGCTGCAGATAAGAAAGAATCGAACATCAGGCTGGATTGAAAACCTCTACCTGGTTTGAAGCTGTACGGTTCAGACCAAACTGCAGGATCATGATGAGCGCCGAAAAGATTAGGAATGATCACTGTGTTCTTCGGGATGAAATAACCTGCAATGCTACACATGAGGTGGAGTCAGATATTTTCATGCAAAATCAAAACATGAAGTAATATTCTGGGGGGAAAAAATTCAGTGTAAATATCTGCGTATTTACATCAACTTGTTGAACATGAAGTGCATTACATGTGCCCCACCGTTCGATATGAAGAGACGTTCTGAGTTATTTGTCCCACATTTAAAACCTCGGTGACACTAAGTCTGACTGCATCAGTGGCTTCAAAAAGTCCTGATTCAGATTTTTGTTTACCCATTTTATTTTGTTCACATGATATATTGCAATTTAACTACTTCTGCGTACTATTTTAGCTATTCATATATAAAAATGTTTCACTCATTCAGATAATAGATGTTATTTTATTTGACTTGCAGCTTTGAATTATCTGCTTTTAGTTTTTAGATAAGCTTTTGCTACTGTTATACAACATTGGTGTTTACCTCCTGTTCTGTTACTTTTAGCTTTTTCTAGGCTTATGTTGCTTTTAGCTCAGACTTTTGCTACTTTTATCTTTTGTCCAGGCTTTTGTTACTTTCATCTAATGTTTTTTTTGTTTTTTAGTTAATGTTTTGTCAACTTTAGTTATACTACTTTGTTGTCTAGCTACTGTTTTGTTACTTTTAAGCTATTATCTATGGCAGGGCTATTCAACTAAATTGCTCCGGGGGCCACAGTTACTGCAGGCCTACAGCTGAGGGGCCGACCATCCAGCAATTAAAGTCATTATGTAAATAAACCAAGTATTACAAAGATCTGTTACCTTTGATTTAATTTATTTTGATGCATTTAACACAGAGAACCCTGTAAAAGTAGTGATAAGAAAACAATACATAAAAAAGACCACATTCTGCCTCCTAATTACCACAAATAATACAGTATTTTGACATCTCTGACCTGCCAAATTTTTAAACCAATTTTTTTTTCACTTTCAGTTTTATMTTTAACTGSTTGTRGTTTCAACTGTCTTGGATGTTCAAAGAAATAGTTTTTACCAGCTTGTAGCMAAGATTCTGACGTTTCTGTAAACACCAACATGTCTGTGTTTAACTAAAAGTACTTATAGTAATTAAAGTAGAAAACTGGGGGGGTTGGGCTTCAGAGATGAATGAACCAATCGGTGGGCCGTACTTTGGTCACTCGCGAGCCGGATGTGGCCCGCGGGCCACCAGTTGAATAGCCTTGATCTACGGTAATCTAATTTTATCTTATTCTTTTTAGTTAATGTTTTACTCCTTTAAGCCAGGGGTTCTCAAGCCACTTGTGTATGGGGACCCTATACAAGGGCAAAAAAAAAAAAAAAAAAAATCCAGGGACCCCCTCATAAACCAAATGCTGTTTTAAAATATAATTTATTGTCATTTCGACCCTAAATGCCATGGGAATATATATTTTTATTAAGTTTATTATGTTTGTTTTATTAGTTCATTGTTCTCCATGCATTTTAAAAAAATAAAAACCAAATTAACATCTTAGTAAAAATGTTTGAGGACCCCCAAGATACCTCTCGCGGACCCCTGGGGGTCCARGGACCCCAGTTTGAGAACCTCTGCTTTAAGCTAGCATTTTGCCAATTTTAGCCGCTATTCTGTTACTTTTAGCTTCTAGCTAGCCTTTTGATTTTCTTTAGCTTTTACCTAATACTCTAGTATCGGCTAGCTAGTCTTTTGTTTCTTTTAGCCAAGGTTTTAGTTCTAGTGTTTTGCCAATATAAGCAACTTTTATACTACTTTGATTTTTTGCTATTCTGTTATTTTAGCAATTTTTCTAGCCTTTTGTTAATTTTAGCTAGTGTTTTTCTCCTTTTAGCTAATACAATACATACAGTGATGACAAAACAACTCTTTCTCATGTTCAGCAAACTTCAGCAAAGRCATTCAGATCAGCTTTCAGGCTGTATTTTCACTCTAGTCATTAGCAGGTTTGAAATCGTAGGCACTCGGTAAGGTGAGGTCACTGCAGGTAAACTGACCTGCTGTCTCTGATGGCTCGGTGTGGGACGGCCAAAGGGGCGACGGGTCTGAGTCTGAGCACCTCGCTGATCAGAGAGCACAGGACAGGAAGTCTGTGTCTGTCGCTGTATTTGGGATAACGCTCCTCTAACACGGTGCACAGCTCTTCGTACACTCTGGTCTGCACCTGGAGGATAAGAAAACAAGAGAACAGATTCAGACATAGAGAGAGAGAGAGAGAGAGAGAGAGAGAGAGAGAGAGAGAGAGAGAGAACTTCAAAGTTACGTTCTATAAAAAAACAAAGACCTCTGGTCTGTGCAGCAGGAAGGCCACGGTCCAGTTCAGCCAGGCCGCAGTGGTCTCTGTTCCCCCGATGAGAAGGTCCACAGTCGCCATGTGGACATGAACATCTGTCAGGGGCTGGAGACAACAAGATGAGTAGTTTCTCAAACTCTGTAATAAAATAGTTCAACTCCAAACCCCTCTAGTATTCAGTGCAGATACCTCTTCATGCTCTGTGTTGTGATGTTTGTCAAGAGCCTGGAGGAGGGATCCTGTGATGGTGTGCTCGCTCTTTTTCTCTTGCAACTGCAAAAATAAATCAAAGGCTAAAGAAATTAAAGGGCCTGTGATGTACTTATCCTTCAAATACAAATAGTCA